GAGGGGCTCACCGTGCTGCCGGGGCCGGGGGCTGAGCCCGCACTGGGGCTGCCAGTGCCACCCTGGCCCCTTCTGCGCTGCAAGCTCCAGCTGTTCGAGAGATCTCTGTGGGTGTTGTCGCCTGGCTGCGGGGCTGGGGTTGTGAGCCTTTCCCCCCTCCTGGTGCGCATGGGTGGGTCGTGACGGGGTGGTGGGGTTTATTTGGGGGTGCAAGGTGCCTGTCCCTGCTGCAGCAGAGCCTTGGCTCCCTCCCCATCCCCAGCACATCGAGGGGCTGGGCCAGGGCGGAGGCTGTTGGGCGCTGGCGGAGATGCTGCTTGCTGCAGGGCTGGGGCTCTGCACCCTGTTTCTCCTCTCTGTGAGGAAGAAGGGGTGCGGGTGATCCTGCTCCGTGGGAGCTGGGGCATCCCGGCTCAGGGATCTGTGCGGGAAGGGCAGCCTTGCCAAAGCAGAGGAGGGCAGCATGTGTGCATGTGCTGGGAGTCGGCGGGATCTGGCCGCAGCTGGTTTCCCCGGGAGGGGAACAGAAATGCTCGGAAACCTCAAGCATCCCACGTGCGGCTCCAGACCCCCGTGGTGCCTCTCCTCTCGCTGCTCCGTGCTGGGGGGCTCTGCGCCGCCAACGCAGCCGCGCTCCTCGGCGGCTCCCCACACACCTCGGCTCTGCAGGAGGCTGGCGGAGGGGCTGTGCTACTCCCCACCCCCTTCTCCGGCTGTAAAAGCAAATCTTTGTTCTTGTGGAGCTCTGGCTGTCGGCCGGCTGTCCGCCAGCCAGATGGAAAGGCACGGGGGCTCTCCTCCCTTCCCTGCTCACTTGCTGCAGACATCCTCTCCAGATCTCTAGGTCTCCCTCTGGAGCTGTGCCAGGCGCTTGGGGTGCACGGCGCAGGCTGGAGCTCAGCTCTGCAGCTGGGCTGCTCCACGCGTGGCCGACGGGTCTCCAGCCCTGCCCAAGTTCCCTCACCGAACTGGTGTCTGCAGCCATGCTGGGTGCGAGGGAGGAGTGCCGTGTCCCCGGAGCCTGCGATGCCAGGGTGCCTGTGCCCAGTGCCCCTCTAGCCTAACCACGTGCCTGGCAGGCTATGGGGTCTTGGCACTGCAGGAGGAAGCCTTATGCCTCCAAGGTTGTGGGGTGCCTTCTGTCCCCCAGCTAGACGCAGTTGCGGTGTCACTGGGTGCTCCTTCCAGCCCGACGGAGGGCTAATATCCAGCCTGTCCCGGAGGAGGTGAGGAGCAGTGAGCCCTTGTTCCAGGCAGGGAGGGGGTTGCAGTGTCCATGTCCACCTCCTCAAGGGCAGTGGATGGGTGGGAGGGATATGTGCCTCATGCCAGCCCCAGATGCCAGCCATTCTCCAGCTCTGAGCTCATGGTTTCAACTGCTTTGCTGCCTGGATGAGGGCTCTCATGCCGAGCGGGTCAGCGGGGCGGGCCAGCAGCTCTCCCTCTTCCAGGGGCTGGCTCTGCCCGGGGCCCATGCTGAAGGCTAAAAATGATGAGAGGGCGAAGCCTGGCCTGGCTGCCTGCAGCCCAGAAGTGTCAGGGCTCAGGGGAGGGTGCAGGGGGGCAGCTGGGGCACACCCCAGCCCCAGGCTTGCCCAAGTCTGCGGGTGCCTGGCTGCAGCAGGCAGCCAAGTCATGGCTGTGCAGGTGGGCAGGAGCCTCCGGTGCAAAGTTATCTGTTCCTATGAGTGCTCGGTCCAGTTTCCTGACCCCAGTGCATGCTTATCTCTGGGGCTTTCACCTGTTTTTCTAGCACCTCCTTTCCTGTGCAGTGCTTTGCTCATCCCTCTTTGCTTAGTGCCAACTGTGCTGTGCTGATGGAATGGGTGAGGGCCAAAAGCTGGCTGTTGGGGTGTCCTGAGGTAGCTAGTCCTGTGAGCCAGGGCCTTTGCTGTGGCAGAAGAGCTCTTGGCTGTGTTTTGGGGCTCTGCCACCATGTACCCACTCCAGACAAAGTGTTTTGTGGGCACGGCATTGCCCTTTGAAGTTGCCTCACTTGTGAGGCTCCGTGGCTGTTACCGAGTGGCACTATCAAGGCAGCTGTTGACACAGCTGGCTTTCTCCAGGCTCTTATCTCCAGTTCCCATACCTGGGCTGAGCCGTGAGTGCTGAGCCAGCTGGCCCTGTTGCTGGGGACAGACTGCTGTCCCCTCCTGCCAGGCTGCGTGCCAGCCCAGGGCATGCAGGACCCCCCCCCTTGCTTTGGCACCTGCAGGGCCGGCAGCGATGGTACTCCCAGCCTTGCTGTGATGCAGCCCTTGTCTGTGATGCAGCCTCGTCTCTGCCCTGCCTGGCTGGGGCTGCTCTGCCCCCAGCCCTCAGGAAGCTGCTCTGTTGCCTGTCCTGGATCGATAGCCATTACCTTTTCCTGATGCTCTGGAGCATAGCCAGCACCTCCATTACTGCTGTGGGCGGCTGTGCTGGGAGAGAAGTTGGGGTGCGCAGGCACTGCTTACTGGGGGTGTGGGTCCCTGGTGCCCCCCGTGCTGTGGGCAGTCAGCATTGGGTTTGCCTTATGGGCAGGGAGCAGAGGAGCAGTGAGGGGCTCGCCTTGGCTACGCTGCAGGGGTGGATGCTCTGATTGCTGGATTCTGGGCTCCTGCCTGGGAACACAGTGCCTCATTCATGCCCCAGCTCCCAGGACCACTGCGGGGGCCGTGCCGGTTGACGTTAGGGCTCTGGTCCCGGGTCTTTGTGCTGCCAGCTTGAGTCTCCAGCACCTAACACCTTCCCCCACCTCTGCTAACCTCCTGACACCTCCTTGCCTGGCCCTTGGGGCCAGTGAGGTGTAGTGGGTACTGGTCTGGGATGGTGGCTTGGACCAGGGGGGTGGATGTGTGCTCTGGGGTGTGAGGGGAATCAGTGCTGCCCCAGGCTCAGATTAAAGCAACCAGAAAGGCGATCTGCTCGCTTGCGGGCTGTGGAGGTGCAGCCCCTTCCCATACTCATCCCCAGGCAGAGTGCAGTCACTCCCTGCCGTGATGTTGTGTGGTGGAGATTTGGGGGCTCAGAGGTCCTGCTGCCCATTTCATCAAGGCTGGGATGCCATGGGGAGGGCAGGTCTGGCAGGCGCCACAACAGCAGTGCGCTGGGTGGTTGTCTCCAGGTGTCCTGGGGAGGCCAGTGGTGTGAGCACAGTGTGCCTCATCCCCTCTCTGGGAACAGGGTTGGTGGCCTGAGCCCGCGGGCTCTCTGTGGATGCAGAAGGTAGTGTGGCGATGGGAGCGGGGCTGTGCTCCTGGCTGGCAATCCCTCTGGGCTGGGACATGGTGCCTTGGGGACACCGGCACAGGGTATGGCTCTGCCCCACACCTTTTGGGGGATGAGGTGGGGACAGGCCTGGGCTCAGCTCCCTCTCTGGCTCAGACATGAAGACTTCCCCGTGCTTCCCGCCTCTGATGGGCTCTGTCCCACAGCTGCAGCCAGCAAGCTGGAGGTCTCCATGCCGGCAGTGGTCGAAGTGGAGAACGGGGGCACAGCCAGGATCGAGTGCAACTTCGACATCCCTGGAAATGGTTCCTACACCTACATCAACTGGTCTTATGTGAGTGCTGGCCTGGGAGAGGAGTGGTGGGCTGGGGTGGCAGCTAGCCTGGGGCTTTCTCCCGGGCTGCCCATCAGCCCAGCCTCAGCCCCTTGCCTTGTAGATCGACCGCAACAACAAGGTGAGGCTGTACCACATCACGGGCAGCGAGATCCTGGAGGAGAACATGGACTACAAGGGGCGGCTGTCGGTGGGGGAGGACAAGGCCCTCTCCATCAGCAAGGTGACAACGCAGGACGCCAAGACCTTTGTGTGCCAGGTCGGGGCGGGCAGCCATGGTGTGGGCGAGAACCGCACCGAGCTCCACGTCTACAGTGAGTGATGGGGCAGGAGGGCAGCGCGGCCGTGCGTCTGTTCTGCAAGGCTGGTGGGGGAATCCCATGCCTCCTAATACGCGTGGGGTGGCTTCTCTTTCCAGAGGTCCCTGAGGCCCCTGAGATCACCGCCCAGTCGGCAGGCATCTCCGTGCACAGCAGTGAAATCCCGCAGGTGAGGAGAGGGCCACACGGCAGGAGGAGGCTCCCAGCCGTGCCAGGGTCCTCGCCCCCCTCTGCCCATGGGGGTGCCTCGTGCTCAAGGTGCTCTCTGCCACTGCAGATTGCCCAGTGCGTGAGCAAGAATAGCTACCCGTCCCCCAACATCACGTGGCACAAGAATGGGGAGCAGCTGGAGGGGAAGAGTAAGTTGGATGGGGATGGGGAACTGCACCGGCATGCTCGGGAGAGGGGCTGGAGCAGTTGTGCTATCCAGGGCCTCATCAGCTGGGGACTGGCAGCCTGTGGCCACCCAGGGGAGCCCTGTGCTCCCAAGGGAGCCCTCTTCTCTCCCGTGGCCTCCCCATGGGCTGGAAACAGCGGCTGTGTCCCCTGTAGCAGTGAAGATCCCGTTCACACGGACCCGTGAGTCGAGCGGGCTGTACACGGTGACTAGCACCCTCTTTGCCCCTGTCACCCGGGAGGACCGCAACTCCCTCTACTACTGCACCGTGCACTACTGGCTGCGGGGACAGAGGCGTACCGTGGAGTCGCAGCGGGTCAACATCACCGTCTTCTGTGAGTCGGGGGCTGGGGGCTGTGCCCACTGCCTGGTGCCATGGGGTGGGGCTCTGCACTGACCCTTCCTGCTCCCTCCTCCCCCAGACCCCGCGGAGCACGTGAAGCTGCAGGTCATGCCGTCCTCGGCGCTGGTGAAGGAAGGGGATGACGTGAAGCTGGTCTGTGAGGCTGATGGGAACCCAGCGCCTGTCTTCAGCTTCTATAAGAGAGAGGTGAGGCCAGAGGGCACCTGGGCACCTCTGCCTTGGCAGACGCCTTGTGTCCTGGCTGCTCCTTGTCCCCTGCCTAGACGGCCCTGGGGAGTGTGGTGCAGTGTCTGGAATGGAGGGTGCCTGTGTGGGGCTAAGGGCTCTGCTTTCTCCCCGCTGCCTGCAGCTGGACGACAGCTGGCAGGACCTATCGTCGCTAGCAGACACCAACAGTGGGGTGCTGAACCTGCACGATGTGAATAAGAGCAGCAGTGGCCTGTACAGGTGCCAGACCCTGGACTTGGACGATATGAGACAGCTAGAGAAGGATGTGGAGCTTGTTGTGAACTGTAAGACAGGGGAACGGGACTCTGCGGACCTCGTGGTGGTGCCTCATCCCTCCTCCTCACCCTGCCCTGTTCTCCATCCCTCTCCTAGACATTGAAGGGGTCCACGTGAAGATGGAGCCATCCTCACCCGTTCGGGAAGGGGATAGCGTGAGGCTGAGCTGCGATGCCCACAGCCCTGTGGCCCTGGACTATCAGTGGACGGATGCAAAGGTAAGCAGGCATTCGGGTACTGTCACGCTCAGGCTCAGCGAGCCTGGGCTTTGCAGCAAACTGGGCAGAGCCAGGAGCTTGCTCCGTCTCTCCTGAGAGAGGCCACGGGGAGGATTCCCCCTTCCATGGACCTATGTTGGACCTATGTTGTCCATCTCTACCTCTTCACCTCCTGACCAGTACTGCAGGGAGGTCCTGTACTTGCAGGCTCCCTCGCTGTGTGTAGGAGGGAGGGCTGAGCCCCTTTGGGACAGCTGCAGGGCCTGGAGAGCTGGGCACAGGAGGGCCTGGTGCTCAGGGCTCATTGCTGGGGGGCATCCCTTCCCAACAGGGCAGGGAGGTCGAGAAAGGAAACCAGCTCTTCCTGAGCAACCTTACCTTTGAGACCTCCAGCAACTTCAGCTGCAAGGTGAAGGCACCAAGCGTGCCGGGGCTGGAGCAGAGCAAGCAGGTGTCCGTGGCTGTTCAGGGTAAGAACCGGCGTGTGTGCGGGCATCCTGCCCTGTCAGAGTGAGCCCTATCCCGCCCAGCATCGGCCCCGTTCCCCCTGAAAGCCATGGGTGCTTGATGTGCCCGCCCCACAGGGAAGCCACGGATTGTCGCCATCAGCTCCCCGATGTACGTGCGGCAGGATGAAGTGGTGAACCTGACCTGCAAGGCCATCGCTTTCCCCAGGCCCTCTGTCCGCTGGAATGTCAACGGGACGGTGAGAGCTGGGGAGGGCGCTGGGTCCAGGCTGCGGTCTCTCAGAGGGGCTGCGCGTTGCCTCGGGCACTGAACCCTTTGCTGCCTCCCTGCCTCGCAGGCTCATGAGTACGTTGAAAATCAGCACGTCGCCAGCAACCTGACGGTGCGCGTGAACCATGACCTGCTGCGGGCCGGAGCCATGTGCATGGTCTCCAATGCGCTGGGTTTCAGCGAGGAGCACATCCAACTTCTGGGTGAGTGTCAGGCACTGCCCTCTGCCACGGGAACCCGGAGAAGTGTTAGTCCCCTCTTGCACAGGCACCGCATGTGCCGTGCTGCTGTGGTGTGGCTGAGCTCTGTGTCTTTCCCTCCCTTCCTGCTCTACCAGTGGAATCCGTCAGAAAAGGTCAGTCTCCGCACTGCACTGAGTGCATCAGTCAGCCCAGGCTCTGGCAGGAGCATGCCACCGACGGGAGGCCTGGGGAGGGAGCCTTGGCTGCTGGCTCTTGCGCTGCATCTCTCGCTGCTCCTCTCTCCCTGCCAAGCCATGGGGGAAACGGAGGCTCTGTCTCCACCCGTTTCTGCAGCGGTGTGAAAGCCGCCTGCTTGTCCTCAGCCTGTAGCCCAGCGAGGCCGTCAAGTGCAGCTTCCTGCAGCCCAGGCCTGCTGGGCAAGAAGCAAAAGGGTGGCCTGATGTCTTGCAGGAAACCCTGTAAGCCATCCTCCTACGGCATGCAGGGGCATGGCAGCTGGGAACAGAATGCAAAATGTGCTCGTACAGAAACTGCCCTAAAGGGAGCATCTGCATCCTGCAGGGACTGAGAGAAGCACCAGGAACTGGAGTCCCCATGTGCTTTCTTGGAGGAAGGGGTTCTTTCCTTGCCCCTCAGAGGGTGCAGTAATGCAGAACCTGGAGAGCATCAGGGTGGGCCAGGCATTAACTTCTTCCCCTCCCATTGTGTTCAGATCAAAAGGCAGCGGAAAGCAAAGGGGTGATCATCGTGGCAATCATCGTCTGCATCCTCGTGGTGGCTGTGCTGGGTTCAGTCATCTATTTCCTGCACAAGAAAGGCAAGATCCCATGTGGCCGCGCTGGGAAACAGGACATGTAAGCACTGCCGCCCGCCCTCCCAGGGAGCCCTTGGGGCCAGAGGTGCTTGCCATCACTCATGCTTCCCATCTCATTGCACCAGCCGCTCCCTGCCCAACGCGGAGGGAGGCAATAGGGCAGCCTCGGGGGGGCACCATGCTGGGGTCTCAGCAGCGCTTCCAGCTTCCCACAGCCTGGGGTCCGCACTGCTCGCCCCATCCGTGCAGGGAGGCGATGAGGAGGACAGCAGAGTGGTAGAGCAGCCAAGGGACCTCTCCCCGGGGAGGGGCTGGGCAGCCCAAAGCTTTCTCTGAGCTGGAGCCTCTTTCACCCCTGGCCTGGCTCCAGAGCATCCCCTGAGATGGAGCCCCAGGGCTTGACCTCACTCATCCGGCCACGTGCCCTCTTAGAGATCGCAAACATGTCTCAAAATTGTCACCTCCCTCCCCTAGCACAAAGCCAGAGGCACGTAAAGACAAGATTGTAGTTGAAGTTAAGTCAGATAAACTTTCCGAAGAGGCGGGGCTCCTGCAGGGTGCCAACGGTGAGAAAGGGGGGTGCACCAAGGTAACGCTTTTCTCCCCTCTGCCAGCTCCTCCCAGCACTCCCCACCCTGCATGGGCCTCCATCATCCACCATCAGCGCTCGAGAGGGGCCGTGGGAGGGAGGGGAGGTGACAAAGCCACGGCGCTCTGCTCCAGGGACGTAGCAGCAGCCGGGGCCTGCGCACCTGCGGCTCTGCTCCGTGCCAGCCCCTGGCACCTCCTGGGAGCACCCTGCCCAGCCTGCTTGGCACTGCCTCCTCCTGTGCTTCCTGGGGCAGGAGCCAGGCTCCCGGGGGGGGCTCTGGGAGAAGGACCTACATAAACATCTCTGGCCAGGAGTCAAGAGCGCAGGCTGCAGGAACGGGCGCTGCCCTGGCGTCTCTGAGCCAAAGCTCTGGGTGTAGATGAGTCTCCTGGGCCATGTGCTTACCTCTCACTTGGGGCTGAGACCCCCTGGGGGCTCGAGTGACTGTTCACAGTATTGGTGCCGGACGGTCACCAAGCTAAGGCAGGGCTTGCGTGTCCTGGGCTCCTGAGCTCACTGCGGTTTTATTTGCCTTGGGCCAAGAGATAACCCTGCCCTGGTTCTGCTGCCTGCACCCCTCATGCTTACCGCCCCTCGCCCTGGGACAGATGCTCAGCCACCACGGGGTGGCCCAGGCTGGCGGCTCTCCCCCATCGCATTGCTATCTGTCACGCAGACACCTGCAGTAGAGGACCTGGTTTTGTGTTCACCCCTAACTGCTGGGTTTTTACCCCTTTCTGTTTTGGCGGACTGAAGAGCGAGAAATACATCGATCTGAGAAACTAGAGGGAATCTACTAAGTGCTTTCTTCCTTCAAGCCTTTCCTGCTCTTGGATTGCCTTGTCCCACCCCTGCTCCAGTACCTGGGGAGCACGGCCAGAGACAATTGCTGCATCGCAGTGCTGAGCCCCAATGCGCGGGGGACGCCCCCCCTGACTCGCCTGTCTGTTACCTCAGCCGTGGGCTTGCAGGTTGTCGACTTAGCAGCAGCCAAGCTGGACTTGCTTACTACTACAGAGAAGCCAACAGCGATATTAGAAAAATATCCCATTAACCTACCTGGTGGAAGGATCTGAGGCTTTTTCAGGAAATTTGTCCTGTATGTGTGTGGGAAGGTTTTGATGTGTTTTACCCCAAACTTACTCAGAAAAGCTGATGAAATTTTGCTTTTACTTTTGGGATGTCCCAGGCACCTTAGATGTAGCGGTGTGCAGGTTAGATGAGGGGAGAATGGAAGTGGTGTGGTAGAGCGGCGTTTGCCAGCTGCTGGGGAGGTATTAGTGCTTTGCTTTTCCTTTGAACTGTTCTTGTCTCGTTGGTTTAGCCCAGCGTGTCCCGGCGGTGCTGTGCAGGCAGGGAGCTCCACAACGGGTAGCTGTGATCCTGCGGGAGGCGAGTACCTGGCAGAGGGAGGACAGGGGTGCCCACCTCTCGGGCATGTGCCAGACCAAGGGCTTAGGTTCTCTGGTTTGTAGCGTAGCCTTGCTGACTTGAGGGGGAGGGATTCCCAGGGAATTGGATTGCTTTTAGGGGGGGCCTGCACAGTTTCTGGCAACAGCAGGTCCCAGAGCTGCCCCCTCCAAATTTAAAACTAAGGAATATTTGGCCAGGGCCAGTCGGCGATGTCTCAGGGTGTTTTTTGTGCTGAACAGTTACCGGCCCCGGGTAGAACTGGTTTATTTCTGTGCTTTGGTGCCACCTCTGGCCCCCCATCCGGGCTGGTGCTACAGCAGCTGGGTGGTAGGGAGGGGAGGCAGGCGAGCAGCCCGCCTTCAGCTTCTGCTGCCGTGGCCTGTCCCAGCCCTCTGCCCACAAACTCTGCTCTGTCGCCTCCTAAAGAGATCGGCCCCTGCGGCCTCTCCTTCCTCTTAAGTCACGTCCTCTCAGTGCTGTGCTGTCCACAAGCCTGTCTGCCCCCAGCCCTTCGGCCGAGGGGCTGAGGCTGACCCTGGGCGACAGGAGGGGTGTCCCCTCGCGCACTCCTGGCATCCTCTGCCGGGAGCAGGGAGCCGCGCAGCAGCCCGGCGGCCAGCGCCCCAACAAGCGGTGAGCTATACTCGTGAGCTACCAGTGTTGTCGAAGCAAAAGCTTTCGTTTATATATATTTTTGTTGGATTGTGTGTAAATTTCCAGAAGTTTTGTCTGATACTGGCAAGGTTTTTTTTATATATGTGAAAATAAAGTACGAAGTTCAAAGTCGGGCTCCGAGTTTGTTCCTGCCAGCAGCCGCCCCACCGGGACGGTAAGGGCAGCGTGTCCCCGCTCGATTTCAAGGCTCCCTTCCCAAGAGCAGGTTACCAAGGCTGGGTGACACCGTGTGCGCTCCCACCCTTAGGTTTGCTTCCACAACAGCGGGACTTTCACCGAGGAAATGGGCTGGAATCAGCGGTCGGCTAACGAGGTACAGGAGCTACTCGTCGATAACCCTGTAGGGGTTCTGCAGGTGACACCTTTATACCCCTGTAGCTGGTAGCAGACAATTCTACAGATTTTAACAGGTAATTGCATTAACAGCTAATGCAGACACTAATAACTGCAAAAATACTAATAAAATTTGCTAATCTAGTCTAATAGATAAGTGTAGTATTAGATTGTAATACATAATTATATTACTAGTGATGGTAAATACTAAAAGATAATACTGTTGATAGAATTTAATAGGTGCCAACAGTAGAATCTATTAGGTAGGTGTATTGATAGCCAGTACAGATATTAGTAACTACTCATAGCTAAGTTCATCGCTAGATTCTAATAGATAACCAGGCACTATAGTAGAAAATGGTATTGGTAGCTGCTATAGATACTAACAGATATCGATGGATTTTTCCCTTAAAGAACTCTAATAGATTATAACTGTTATTCATATATGAGCTACTCTAGATTGTAGTAGACACTTTATTATTAATAGTTGCTATTAATACATTTTAATTGGTAATTGTATTAATAGCAACTATAGGTGCTAAATACAAATAGGTATTTATTAGATGCGAATAGTAGTAGCTTTTAATAGATAATTGCAATAATACTAATACAGATATGAACAGATAATTCTGTTAAAAGATTCTCATAGATTATGAGACAAAATTGTATGGCTAGCTACTGGGTACACTAATAAGAGATTCCGTTCATGAATTCGAACAATTCTAATAGACAATCGCATTAATAACTACCATGGATGATTCTATAAGTAGATTCTTTTGCAGATTCTAGTAGGCTATTGTATTTCTAGCTAATATAGATCCTAATAACTACTTAATGACTAAGTAGTTATTCATTAATGAGAATAGTTATATTTAGATACTGGTAGATTATGCAAGAAAATCTTATTAGCTATTGTAGATACTAATAAATCTACAAATGTACAAATACATCCTGATAAATTTTGATAGATAATTTTAGAGCTAGCTCCTGTAACTACTACTCATAGGTAACTATTGTTAGATTCTAATAGACACTGCATAGGTTGAAATAGCTATTTGTGTTACTTCCTGCTGTAGGTACTAACACAGAATTCTATTACTAGAATCAATAAGGAAACTTTACTACCCGCTGCTGTAGATGCTAATGATTACCAATAGACCATTGTTTTAACAGAAGCAATTCTAAAAGTTGAATTACTACTAGTAACTGTTAGTGCCTACAGTAGCTGTTATCTGATAGCTGTAATACTCTAGTCTAATATAATCAATAAACAGAATTACCTGTTAACGATAGCTACTCTAAACACTAATAATGCTAAAACCAGCTCTGTTAGCGGATTCCGGGAATGCCAGTAACCTTAACAAATAAACTCTGCTAGTAGCTTCTGCAGATACTAGTAGTTACTAACTGATAATTGCAGTATTAGAATCTGTCGAGTTCTGACAGAGGGTTGTTTTACAAGCTGTGACCAGTACTAGTAACCCACTACTAAATAAATCCAGTTCCGGTGTTGCGGTGTTACTTGGTTCCATACCGTAGCTGTGCCAACAGCCAGGGGAGATGAAAATAAACACTGGCAGGCAACTCTATCAGCGCATGGACTTGCTAGAGTGCATCAGCCGGTGCTAGTAACTGCCCTAACACCTGCAGTAGGTGCTCATAACCACGGAGCTGAGGCGAAGGCGTAGTTCAAATTCAAGGTGATTCCACAGGCCCCTGGGTGACCCATCTGCTTCCTTGGACTCCACTTAACCAGAATGATAGTGCTTGATACTGTTAAACCCCTGGGGCCCCCTCGTTGACCCCAGTTCGTATTATTTAACCTCTGTCATCCTTCTTTGACCCTACGGTGACACTTTGAGGGGGTTCACGCAACCTCATTTGACCTCGTGCCCTCCTTTGAATCCCCAATAACCCCATTTGACAGCACCATGAATTCTTTGAGGGGTTCCCTCAATCTCAGTAGAACCCTAATTAAACTCCTTTAATCTCAAGGTGAAGTTTTTAAGGAGATCACAACCTCTATTGACCCCTATGCCCTCATTTGGCCCCTGTGACCTCAAGTAACACCAATTAACCTCCTTTGACCCCCACAGTGAAGTTTTAGGGGTTCACTTGATGTCAGGTAACCCCTGTGACCTCAAGTAACCCC